AAAACGCATATAGAACTCTGAAAATTCTGCATAATTGAAAAAAAATCTAATATAACATAAATGATTTTACTCCTTCTTTTCAACTATCCAAATGAAAAGTCTTTACCAAAAATCGTAAAAGCTGGCAGTTCTGAGTTGAGACATATTATCGTGCTTCAAAAACTTGATTGCACGATATTAATACGTTGAATGCCGTGAGGGTGCACCGGTAACCGGCACTGAGTTTGTTCGTAGCGCCACGGGGGTCACCGGCATACCCTGCAACTGCTACGGAATTTCCGTAGTTTCAGAAATCTTCTTTTCAGACGGTAGCAAAATTAATGTCTTAATATTTAAAAAAAATTAATTTTAGCGTAACTTGTCCACTATTACTTATAAAAGTGCAGGCCATATGGCTAGATTCTTAAGTTCTGATAAACGTTTTATGAGAGATCCATTTGCTTTAAAAATTTCTACTTTGGTTCGCTACTACTAGAAAGAATTATTTTCAAAATCTTCATAAGTTGGAGGGTATGGTCACCGGTGAAGCCAAGATTATTAGAAACACATAATTCGAGTAAATTTTCAATATTATTATCGTCACTAAAATTGTTTGAAGAAATTAATGCAATATAGAACACACAAAAATAACTTATTTTTATACACAGAGATGCCAACTTGCTCCGGACAGCGAATAAATATTTTCAAGTGGTAGTTAATTAATTGTGATTCTTGGTTTAATAAATTAAATTTAGTAGTTTTTATCCTCCACTATTTCTGAAAAATTCGTAGGCTTAAATACCACTTTTCTCACAATTTGTGTGCTAAACCCCTAAAAAAACAAGCAATACCTGTCTAATATTTGCAAATTTAGTTTGTATTCAACTTGTTAAGGTTCAAATTGCAAAGAAAAAAAAGCGTTATTTAATTTAATACTTCATTTATATTGGTGCAAATTTGCACCACGTTAAAGGCAGTTACATGTTAAACCTATTTTTTTTAAAGTGTACACATTCAGTCATCAGAAAGTTATAATATTAGGTCATATAATTAACTCAGTTTATGAAAGAGTACGCCATGCAAAAGGTTCCTTTATATAAAAAAAAACGTGGTAAGGGATTTACTTTTAAATGTATGTACTTACCTTAAAACTACCAGTTAGGTTTGTCCGATACTTTCATTACGAGTTTGATATGCATGTATTTGCTTTTTAGTGCTATATGTGCTGTGTCTTTTCAATCTAGAACATTATTAACGATTTAAAAGTTTAATCATCTACGATTATTTTTATAAAAGAACCTTTTGCATTCCTGTAAAATTTTGTGTAGTTTCGCGGTTAAAACAACTTTCCATTAGATTACTGTCTTTAATTTCTGTTATCTTTTCAAACTTTCCGTTTCATTTCATTTCCATGACAAATATTTCCACAAAAAGCGTAAAAGTTTTAAGGCATGGTATGGAATTAAAGATAGTAAACCAGTAGATAAAATGTTCGAAACAAGTTAAAGTGTTTTTAGTAATTATAATAGTATCCATCAAAATAACTTTCCTTTTGCAGCAACAGATTCAGCATTCTGGACTAGGTCCTTCAGTCGAAAGGAATGCAAAGAATCTTCTGGAAAGAAAAATTCCGAGATACACCGGAAGAGTCAGCGATACAATTTAATAGGAGTGGAGATACATTTAATTAAATCAGGAAAGTCTTGACTCCTAAGCTCAAGGATGGCGAACTTGCAGTTACAGTTACTGAATAAAGATTTCACCACAATTATGCTCCATCTCTGGGGAATAGAGTAATTACATCAAAGGCGAAAGATATTTGTGGTTAGAAGGAAATGATTCCGGAATAAGTCATAATTATGTCGGAATTGTGGAGAGTTGCAAATGTCGAGGGAATATTGCCTCAAACTGCAAGCGTTGCACCATTATATTTTTCTTCCAATACTCACCTGGGTTGACATTTCATCGATTCAGGCGTATTAGGGCAAATTTGTTGGCCACTCTTTCAGGATCTGCGTATTAGGTAGGCCAACGTTGCTCCCACAGTAAGGACAGATTGTACAGAGAATGAAAGAATAGCCATGCCTTGTCTGGGATTCGAACCCAGAACCTTTCTGATGCAAGGCCAGTTTCATGACCCCTACACAATCCTGGTCGGCTCCATTATATTCTTAGTCTTAGAAACGGAATCATGGGATAGTGGAATAGGATGCGTTTTGCTGAATCAAAGTTTTGATAATGTTTACATTTCAAATGCTTGAATTTCGAATGGATTTTATGTAAAAAAATTTTAAAGTTAGCGAATGGCAAGCTGAAAAATATTGAAACTGCATTTTTTAGTCTTTCTAAGAAACTGTTTCAATAAGTCCTAAATATGTCAAAACTGGGAAGAATCTCAATTTTAAAAATGCGCCGTGAACGATTGTATCAAGGTGCAGATACCATCATATATTTAGCGTCAGGAAACGGAATCTTAATGAAACAGGATAAATTTCATTGCAATGAACTGATTCCAGTGTTAGAATCTTAAATGTTTAAATTGGTGAATTTTGTTTGCTTTGTTTATACAATTTTCTTCGATATTCCCACTTAATACAATTAAATTCTTAATATAATAAGTCATAAGTTTGTAAAAATTGTGGAGAATCTCAATTTTAAAGTATTAATGGCAAGGAAAATTGTAAGTTAGTGAATAGCACAAACATGAATTTATTTAGTATATTTCTTAGATATACTTAGATATGATTTCAGAATCGGTCATAAATATGTCACAATTGCGGAAAGTTTCATTTCTATGTGGTAATGTCGAGAAGAATACTTTATCAAACTGCTAGGGTTATCTGTATATATTCTCTTATGTGGCAGCATTAACTCGAATATTTCCCTTTCTTGTCAATAATATTATTATTTATTCATTTTGTTAGTTAGTCTTAAGAAATCATTCAAGCAGTGTTGAATAGTATTTTTTGTAGAATAATTTCGCATTTTTTTTCAGAAATAAAAACATTGTTAGGAAGTAATTATTTAAGACTTATTTTTGATCCTTTCTAAAATGGCTGAAGAAATTTTAAACGCAAACGTTGCTATGGCACCGCACTCTCTCATATTAATTATTAGTGACGGGGCTTTCTTTTTTTGAGCAATAGCCTATGTATTATATGATACTCAAGTTATGGCTCAAGAGATGCGTGAGGAAGTTGTACAGCACGTAGCACTGGGATGAGTTTTCCATCTCACCTCACGACAGAGATGGAAATAGTTCTAATACTTTTGCTGTCTGAATTCATACTTACGAAGGTTTGCGTGATTTATTGCTGCCGGGCAGATTTTAAATTATTACTAAATTTCAATATCGTTTACATCTCTTAAAAATAGTTAAAATTGAAATCGGAATACTTCCGTGTGGGCGACAGCTAGATGGTTAAAAAAATTGGTTAATTTATACATTGTTTAAAACTAAGAGAGGTCTTAGGATTGATTGGAGGATGGGTTGAAGAATTAGAATATTTAAATACAGTTGTGTTGCGTATTCGGTTTGGTTACTATTGAAGTTTATTTTAATTAGATAATTTTGAAAGGTGACCAATCTGGTCATGAAACGTGGCTAGTACCATTATATTAATAGTGTCAAGAAACTGACAAAAAATAAAATAGGATGCATTTTACGAAAACAGAATTTTTACAGTGTTTACATTTTAAATGTTTAAATCAGAGAATTGAAAAATTAGTTTAGCAATTAACAGACTGTGAAAAAACATATTTATCAAACCCAAATTTATGAGGGAATATAATTTATGCATATTTACCAATTTATACAACATCTAAACTATCGTTGAAAATTTAGGCTTGAATGCTACTAATATATACAAAAATAATATATATACTCAATATTTTAAATTGTCTGCTCGTTTTCTTATGATAAAAAATAAGATAACAAAACTCAACACATAGGTCATTTTAAAAGAGTTCGTGGGCTATTGCCTTACCCTTGGGTCATAGATTCATCACCACTATCCCAAAGCATAGCTGCCTAATCTCTTCTATTTTGAGAAAGATTAGAGTTTTTAAATTATATATATAAAAGTCCTGACAATAGTCTTTCAAAATATTAAGTAAACAATTTCTGCTTACGATTGTAATATTGATTATTATTTCGCTACCACATCGAAAAATCTTTATTAAATAATATAAAAAACGCATTCCATTTCATAACATATGACATAAACTTGCGCCATTAATTGTTGCATTTTATGTAATCTGTCTACTGTTTTTGCTTATGTTCTCATTACAGGATGCATGGGAAAAGGGCCATTATTGGCCTCAGGAGCCCAGCTAGACCACATGACATAGGAACGGCAATAGAAAAAATAAATGGAACTTATATCCATAGCATTTCACTTTTAGACGGAATAATAATAGTCTACTTTGTTTAAATCCACAACTTTGCTTAAAATAAAAATTACTTCGAACTAATACTTGTTAAAAGTAAAGTTAAAGTAATTATAAGCTTTTTAAAATAGCCACGCCCACATTTAAGTTACCACTTCTTTACTTTATTCTCATATAATCCCCACTATGTAGGAAGAGCACGTAATAGTTTCGAAAATAAAAATTAAAAAACCGCTAACGTTAAGGTTCTTTTACATCCACTTTAGATATTGCTGATAAATTTTCCCCCACAGAATTGAAAGACTTAGCAAAATTGCTATAGAACAAAAATGTAGAGAAGATTCTGTAAATAGAATTATGTTAACAAATGTCAACATGAGTTTGATCACCAGAGAGAGGGTATTGATAGCACGAAATGTTATCACTCTTTAGGTTAAATTTTGCTTAAATAGTGATAAAAACGTTTATTCGTTAATCTCTACAACATATTTTTTGCATTTATTTGAATTAATATTTTTATAAGTTGACTGACTCGTGCTGACAACTCAAAACAAAATAAAAATGCTACAAGCTTTTCAAAACATATAAAGATGTAAATTTTAGAATTAATCGAATGTATTTAATTAACTCACCAAGCTCATCAATGATTGGAGCCATTCTTAGTGTCAATCCCACCAAAAAGAAGCTCAGCATAATTAGGGAGAGGGCAACCACCACAATAGCCAACCTGGCTCTTTTCGAATGTTCGAAGTCTCTACCAACTCCACTACTTCTTCGATTCGAACTATCTTCAGAGTGCAGTCTTTGTCTTTTGCAACCACTACCACGTCTGCACTTGTGGACCTTACGGCTACCATTGCCGGACATATCAATGGCAAATACTTTCTTTTTTCTTTTCTTCTTTTTCTTTTTGATCATAGAGTCCGAAGGATCTGGTTCTTTGGATGAAGACGGTGGCGTGGTGAGCAAGCGAGGGAATTCGTCATTTTTGGTGAACCACAGGGGACCTTTACCTCCCCCCTCAAAGTACTGATTTTCGTACTGACTACTGATGCAGCTTGAGCTGTGGCTTTTAACTGAGCACCTTGATTTGGAAGGACAAGGGAGATGCAGATGACAGGAGTCGGTCAAATACTCTTTCTGCTTTTCTGTCATTGTCAGACAGATTAATTTGTCAGATTTCTTAAGATTTTCACCATATGTCTTTGAACGCACAAAAAATGGCGATTGTCTTGATTGTTCAAATCAATGAAATCTGAACGTCATAGCATTTAGTTGTGGTGACATTTCTTACAAAGGTTAGAATGACATAGTTCAATGAGTTGTAATGGTGTGACTTATTGTAAAAGGTCACGTGAGGGATTAGTCAAATACGTCTTTGAACACACAAAAAATGGCGAAAGTCTTGATTGTAAAATTAATGAAATATGAATGTCATATCATCCAGTTGTGGCGATATTATTTTTTTACAAATGTTATAATGCCTTAGTTTAATGAGTTGTAATGTTCAGACTTATTATAAAAAGGTTTTCTTGAACTACACTCATTTTTATTTTATGAGGCTTCAGTTTATTTCACTGTGTTTAAGTTATTATAAACACAAACTGGACAGTTAGTGTTCGTTTCAGGTTTTAAAAAATATTTCTTTGAAGATTAGATTACTTTGAAGACCATCAAACTCCAACATTTATTTATACTTTAAAAAACATTGTTAGAATTTGAAGACCACAAATAATACTTAAAAACATTGTTTAATTTTAAGATCACAATGCTCCAATATTTATCGATCTTAAAGCAATATTTATCAGTTTCTAAGCAATACTAAAACTCTTATTTCTTTGAAGATTAGATTACTTTGAAGACCACAAAACTCCAAAATTTATTGATACTTTAGAAAACAGTGTTTGAATTTAAAAAAACACAAAGCTCTATGAAGAATACTTTTAAAACGTTGATGGAATTTGAAGACCACCAAGTTCCAAAACTTCTCGATTTTTAGGAAAATGTTTGAATTTGAAGACCAAGCTCCACATTTATTGATACTTCAAGCAAATTTTTGAAATTTAATATTTTTTTTCCAGAAAATATATCATGTAAGAATTACTGAATTTCTTTGAGAAGTTCAAACGGTAAAAATGCGGAACAGAGCAAGAAAATTCTCCAGAAAAAGTTCCAACACCGAATAAAATCAAGGTTAGACTATAAGTTATGAAAGGACACCACATCAAGATGTTCTTAAAAAAACAATTTCCAAAAAATATGTACTTGGAAGCTTCAAGATACCCATAAATAGATACTATCTTTCCTGAATTAATATTGATTGTTACGAAACAAAGTTTTGATATGTTTAGTGAAATGCAATGTTATTTTGTCTCAGATATTGAGCAAACAATTCATTTAAATACATTTGTGTACTTCTAGTATCAATGAAATTGAATGATTGATCACAGTGATTCTATTGATGAATGAAGATTTAAGTATGAATAACACAGACATGGTTTGTAACACCGAATTAAGTACGCTCATTAGTAACACTGATAAAAATATGCATAGTAACACACAGATATTAAATGTTACACATACTTAAGTAAAACAAATTCAGGTATGCATATTCAGTTCAAAGCATATTATGGGAAGTGTAAAATTTTTCAGGTTGGAGGCAATTAAATAATTATGCATATTGTTTACCGAGAACTGAATATAGGAGATTAAACTAAAATTAATATTTGAGCATATTAACATCAAAGTTCAGTTTTATAAAGCTTAAGTGTATTTAATTAAAGTTTTGTTTTGAAATAACGAATCACTTAGAATTAGAACAAAGAAATGCCGTTTAAACAAACAGGAAGAAAATAAATTTTAAATTGATTTGTTTAATGTCTTATGTTAAATTATGCACAGAAATTTAGCGAAAGATGTTTGCAATATTTCTCAAATGCAAATAATTTCAGGATTGATTAAAAATAAAGGAAAGAAAATTTATTTTGCTTTAGATTATAAGTAATAGTGAAGTAGTTTACTGTAATAGTAGATTAAATAACAAATAGACAGTAAAAAGAAGATAATAAATCTATGTTTACTAAAATTCTGAATAGTAAACAAGGTAAGAGATAAACAAGATTATCTTGATCTGATCAGATTTTGATAAAAACGAAGTGATTCTAAGCGTTTCGCAAGATAGAAAAAAACACACATTATAAAGCCAAACTTCGAAACAAGTGCTGAAAGATTTTGAAAGTAAGCATCATAAAATGTATATCTTTCCTTAATTACTGATTTAACAATTTTACATTTCAGTTGTGTCATATCTAATGTCTTCGGTAAAAAGCCTGAAAATTTCTAATAGCATGAAGTAACAAAAAATGAGTAAAAAATTAATCATGGCAGCTATTAGAAACCACCGAAGAAGGAAATTTCCAATCATTTTCTAAACTGATTTCACATATGTTTCGATTCATAAATTCTTCCGGAATTAAACTATGTACACAAGTAAATCAGTCCCTCAAACAAAGGAACCTAAAGTTTCTTCTTACTTTTAAATAGACATCTAAATAGTAATACGTTTATATAAGTTTACGATTAATTATTAAATAACAGTGAACTTAGATGAAGAAATTCGGTACGATTTTTATAAGCATAACATATTGTCAACTGGAAATAAATGAGCTAAAAGAATTGAATCAAAAGAAATCAACCACTTTAAAAAGACACGAAAGATGAAATGTTATGTCACCAATTAGTATCCTTTAAAATATGTAATCATCTGCCACATTCAACAAGTTCCACAGTCGCCAATACCTTCTCCTGATATCACGTTAAAAGTAGGATCCTTATAATGATTTAGTACCGGGGGATAACGTTGGCGGGATTATATCTCCCATTTTCGATTAAAAAAACATAATCTTTCGCCATCAACGAGGCGTAAGAAATGCCAACTTCATCAAAATATCAAATTTACACGAGCCAAAAATTTCCGGCAGTGGATGCCTAGGCAGAGATGATTTCTTATCGATTTGCGCATGCGTATCAGCGATGCTGTGACATCATGATTCGGGATCAAGCCTCCCATTGGATTCCTGAAGAAAGGTAATCTCCCAACAGGCTGTTGAGTGCTTTCCTCCCCCTAATATGTAATTCTTTTACTTATTTGAGCGTTCCCAGAGAAACAAATGTAGCTACCACAATAAACCCACATTAGTCGCCAAATAGAATAAAATAAAACTAGTTGACCCCAGACACATTTTTCATCCTGTAAAAGGATGCATCTGTATTTGGAAATTACGTTGTTCCGATTGCATGATTTCATGAATCTTTCCACAGATTTAACCGTAGTAATTGAATTCTTGCACCTTCAATCCTTTCCCTCTTGAATTTATTTGAAAATTCCCTTCTGCTGAGATGCCACGTGTGACTAAAAATTTAAGAAGTAATGGGAATTCAATTCATTTAATTATACCATCGCAGCTAGTACCATGATTGCATGAACTGCAAATTATTCTTATTTAAATTGAAAACATTTTTTGCATTCGCTTTCAACAGAAAAGTGAAAGAAATAGGTTAGAAAAAGCAGCTGAATTTAATCTCTTTTGTCCCGCAGTAGACTGATCGTAAGGACTCCGTTCCTAGTAGAACATCGAAGTCAAGCATCAATGCAGATGCGGTCAGTAAACGGGTGGGTGACCGCATTGATCAGCCTGTGTAGGTACCGAGGGTGAGCAATATCGGTCGTCGTTAAACTGTTCTACTGAAAAGTGCTCGACTTCGCGCTCCGGTCGTCGGGCTACCAAAGCAGGAGAGCCATCCCCTCTGCTGAGGATCGAAATTGCGGGCATGTCTTCGGATCATCCTCAGGGATGTTTCCCAAACCGTTGCCAATAGCCCATTGTGCAGCTCTAGTGAGCCGAAAATAAAGTACCCACCTATCTACTTTTAACAGATTTTTGCTTTTTATTCGTCGTTACTTTTTGCAAACAATGAATTTTTTATTTTGAAAACAATGAATGGTTAAAAGTGGTAGCAACACAAGTGTCATGTCTACTTTTTAATATTGTTGATTTAAAAATACTGCAGCTAGAACAGGAAAAAAAAGTAGTGTTAGCTTTAGAAAAAAAGTATAGAGGTAATTATTGGAAAAGCAGGATTATCATAGTTTCGGGATAGTTGCTAAGCCTTACGTTTTAGCTCTGCATGATATTTGAAGTGGTAGTAAATAAAATGGTAAGTTAAAGTACTAGGCCCGGTGTCATCATTTGACGGCTGTCCGTTTTCTAGAAAAAGTTAATAGCAGTAGCAACAAGAATTAGTTCTTAAAATTAGTTTTGGTTTAACAGGACAATTGTAATGTCTACTGAAAACATTTGTCTAGGAAAGTAGATGCCCCAATTTGAAGTGATGAAGAAAGTACCTTTGTAGCAAAAAAGAAGTATTATATTTGCTAACGCACTTTTGGATAAGGAGACAATTCAAACCACAACGGCAATTTTTTTGAAGTAACAAAAAAATCGCCTTAAAATAATGCATTTTTTATTATTATTTACGACATTTATTTTTAAAAAAATTACAATATTACTTTTTCTTAAAAGTAGAAGACTCTCTCTCTCACTGGGATTAAACTAATTTATGTATTTCAAAATAATGAATGGTATCTATTATATATAACTAGTGGGCTGTGCCCCCTGCTCGCTAACGCTCGCCAACCCCCGAAAATTGCTACTCAATCTTATATGGNTTTTTTCTAGAAAATGATCTGTCCTCAAATGGTAACAATGACTGCTTACAAGTTAAAAGATTACGACTAACCATACACACTATTTACTACCACATCAAATATCATGTTAAACTATTACTCTTGAAGTTAAACATAACTTTTTTTAATAGATTTTTGAGACGCTAAATTCGAAAGAGTTATTTATTTTAAGGCCACTTAAATGGTCCCTTAGTAATTCCTCCCCCCCACGAAAAAAAAACGCTTCATTCTATTTATAACAGGAAAAAAAGAGTTAAGTTATCATGACTAGCGAAAAGGGAATGGGATACTTGCAAGTGACGTAGTGTGGGTATCTCGATCCTGATTGGTTGTTGAAACGTGGCATTTGTTTACCTTGACAACTGTTCTTTCCATTCTATTTCGAGTAAACCAAGCCCGTCAAGTTCAAATTCTCTTAATTAACGCATTCCATATTCTTTTCTTTAAAAAGATTTCAATTCTTTCACTATATATTTACACGAATACTTAACACAAAAACAGACATGAAGCCACGTGAAACATAAACAAACTGTTGCCATTCACACAAAGCAAAAACATATGACAGTTATAATAAAATAAGTAAAAGTTAAGAAAAAGAAGTTTACGAGAAAGAATTATATTTCAACAAATTCGATGAGCGAAACGGTTCCGTATGTAATTAGCTTAACGTTAATTAACATTCTAAGTTATGTAGAGAAACTTATCTCAACTTTAATGCGTGATTTTGCTGATAAAGATTAGCTGGCGTGTACGTCATAGGTCACATGTTTGGGTATGGGTTGTCTTCTTCTTCTGGGAGTGCAAGTACCCAATTACGACAGTAAAATTTTGTCCGACAAGGGTTTTTAACTTGATATCTCCTAAAGGAAATATACTCGTGTTTAAAAACTTAAAGTTTAAAATTTTCACAGATTTAAAAGCATTAAACTAAAATGAATATAATTGTGTTAATTCAAAAGAATTTTTGCTATAAATTAAAAGCATTAGTTTCCTTATTTACGAGATAAATTTAAGTAGTTTTTCTGGCAATTGCGTAATTATTCCGTCGACCATTTTCACCAACACTGCATTTAAGCGATTTTGTAATCTCCCAAATTTATTTTTGTGAAGGAAATAATCATAAGGAAATAGACAAATGCAACTTATTTCATATAAAAAAAAGTATTTAAATTTGAGTCACATCCAAATAAATTTTCTGATTTGGCGAAAATGGTTGACGGTTTAAAACGTAAATGTCGTTTTTCTTGTTTAAATTGTTATGAGAGTTGAGGATTTAAAATTAATAATTAAATTACTAGATAGTTTCCTTTTCTGCGTAATAAACTGAAATAGTTTTTCTCGTAGAAAATATTATAAGAGTTAAAATTATTATAGTTTTATTTTCTCGAGTTACACAGTTAAGATGTTGATGCGGATATGAAGTTGATTTTCAATACAATCAGTACTGCAAAGATCTACTTTTTAAATGTTTTTTTTTTAAAAAAATACGCAATGATAAACATTAAATACAATAGTAGTTAGAGAAAATAAATGACGATATTAAATGCCTTCGTTTCTATCAACAATTTACGTTATTTCAATGAGATAAACAAATGTAAGTTCTTGAAGCAAAAACGTCTTGGTTAAATAGATTCATTTATTTTTACTTGATTATAACAAACATTCGAAATGAAATCTTTTTAAAAGAAATGAGATGCAATCAGTGAGTAATGGTCCGTAAAATAAGTGCATGCAAAAGATTTTCTTAGTAAAATTCAGAAAAACGATAAATTTGTTTAAGAATTCAATTAAACTAGAATAGTAGCGACGGAAAGCGATTTTTTTTCTTACTTTTGAAAAAAACCTTTTTCAGCGATTGTTGTTGCCATTACAGAAAGCAAATATCAATGGATTGTTTCCGAGGGCAATAAGGCTTAAACTAATGAAAGCACAACTTACAATTGTAAGAAGGTATTTTTCCGCTTCGCTTGTTTGCTGCTTTGATGTTTGGATTCTGAAGTACCATTCATTTTGAGATGAAACACATAAATTGCTTACGCTTTTTGATTTCTAAGATTCATTAGTACTTTTATGAGTTCTTTGAGTTAGAAAATACTAATCGATAGTATTTTTTAAATCTAAAATACTAATAATATTAATCTATAGTATCAACGGTTCCCATTTTGTTTTCGGCTACGGAACCTTAAATAATCATTTTTCTCTTGGTTTAACACTGACTTTATAGCTAAAGTTTGTTAAGGTAATTGTGAACGTTGTGACCCTTAAAAGGCTATTTTCAAAATATTTAATTAGAGGAATGAAGATGTTGCATTGTTTAATCATTAATAATCTAATTATATATAAAAATATAATGATGATGTCACAGTCTCTCATTGTTGTCGGTGCATTTTTATTGTCCGGAAAACCACAAGGTAGGATCCAGTTTTCCCACAATTGCTTTCATACTGGTTTGGTTGTCATCAGCATAAAATTGATAAAAGTCATAAAGGTATTGTTTTCCTATTAATATTTTGTATCCCTAATAAGTATTAATAATAAGTACTAATTCCCCTAAGTACTAACCCTAATAGTAATAATAAGTACTAACTCACGGAACCATTTTAATGTTACCACGGAACCCTAGGAATTCGCGGAATACCATTTCGGAACCGCTGGTGTATAGTATAGGTTAATATATTCAACTTATAGGGGTTTAGCAAAAATATAAAAACATTTCTCTTCGTATTCTTCTTTAAACAGTAAATGGTTTGGGAAATTTTGCATAGCAAAAGTGTTGGTACAATTTGAAAGATCATGCTTGATGCTTTTAGAAATGGTGTCCTTTTTACCAATGCAAAATCTGCATCGATTAAAATAAGTGTAGAAAGTTAAAAGATTTTTAATTCCCTTATAATTAAAAAGCATTCTAATATAAATATTGCATTTCTGTTGAATGAATTTTAAAATTGCTGATATTAAGAGTAAAAAAAATTCTCAACTTCTCGTTTTACGTTTTGCTGCATTAGATAAAATGACATACAGTGTTAGATAATAAAAAACTAAAGCCAGAAATTTTTTGATAATTTTGACTGCATTTTAAAAGCCTCATCACGAGATAGCTAGAAAAAAGTGGCGTTCCATTTGAATTTTTTTGATCAGTTATATCTGACTGCAACGAAAATAACTTTTAATCAAATTTATAAAACAAGTAATCATGCATTATTGCATAAATCTAGTTATCACTAGAAGAATTAAATATTAACAAGTTTTAGAGACATAAACTGTGAGTTACNAAATTTCAGAACAATTGAATAATTTATTGCAGAGTTACAGTAACAAGTTCAATAAGGTGTTGACCCACCTCTAGCCTGGATACAAGCTGCCACACGGCGTGGCATAGACCGATAAAGCTTCGGGATGGTCTCTTGCTGTATTTCCTGCCAAATTCGATCCAATTGTCGAACGAGGTCATCAACATTCCGTGCCAGATGCAATCACCTTCCCATCATATCCCAGACATGCTTGATGGGAAAGAGATCTGGTGATCTGGCAGGCCAAGGAAGAGTTTGACAAGCTTGCAGACAGTTCATAGCAACACGTGCCGTATGTGGTCTGGCATTGTCCTGCTGATAAACCAGCCCAGGGTCTCGGATGGTCTTAGGATGTCGTCGACATACTGCTGTGCAGTAAGTGTACCTCTAATGACGACCAAAGGGGTCCGGCTGTCAAATGAAATGGCACCCCAGACCACAATGCCTTGTTGAGGGCCGGTGTGGCGTGCAATAGTGAAGGCAGGATGCCCCCTCTGCCCTGTGCGTCTCCAAACACGTCTTCGATGATCGTCAGGACAAAGTTGGTAGCGGGATTCGTCGCTATACGTCCCCAGTCGGCATCATTCCAGCCTGATCTGTTCAAAACATTCATGCATACGAAATTTCAAAGCAATCGGATGATTGCTTCTTGGTGAGTCGATTTTTTTTGTTATAGAGTGCATTTTAATTTTAAATGTTATTTTAAAAAATAATTACTCAAAAA